TGAAAACAGGAAGTAAGTTAGTTCCCATGACAGAATGACCATCTTTTCATGAAAAAACAAATTTTGCAGTGTTTCTTAAAAAGTGATTGTGAAACAGAAAATTAAATTGGGAGATACAGAAAAGAAACTCCAAAATAGGACTGATGACTCTAGGATCCAGAAGTCTGTTTTTGAAGAAGCAGCCCCTATAGCTGATAAAGGGGACAAAGTGTTTCGTAAAGTCTACTGCTGTTTTAAAAGAAAAATTCAAATGAAAACTCTGCTAATAAAAATTAGGAGTCAGTCTGCCAGTAATTGTTTGGGACCACAGGAGAGAGGAAGAGACGGCTAGAGTGTGAAGAGTTTTGGCCTCTAGTCAAACCACTGAGGATTTCCTGAGAAATGCAATCACATTTTGATCAGATGAATCAGATCATGTTTAGGCACACAGAAGGATAGGATTCTGTAAGTCCAGCCTGCTTCTTTCTTCCATTTAATAAAGTCTTTGACATAACTTATGTGTTCAATTTAGTAATAATCATATTGTTTTATATGTCATAAAGCCAAAATTCACCTTTTACAAGGAAAACAGCCAATGTGAAGATAACTCAGACATTGTGAACCAGCTCAAAGGTAACAGATTTACATTTCCCAAAAGCAGCTTTTAAGAACACCTTGTCGTCACTGAACTCCACACTGCCCACAATGCTGTTTGCTAAGGAATAGGCTCATGTTCTCTCCCTGGACTTTATCATTATTTATTTAGTTTTCACTTTCCACAATGAACCGCTTATAACTATCAGAAGCATCTAGAGAGGTCCTGAAGACTAGAGGTGAAGGAAGTAAATAAACTTCCTCCTCCTTATTTATTCATTCTGAAGGTTATCACTTTTTTTCAGCTCTAGACAGTGAAATTGAGTCAACACAGTAAAACAAAACAAAACAAAAGGATGTTTTCTTCTCATGTAGAATAAGCTTTTGATTTAGAGATTGAAGACTTTACAAAAAAATGAAGGATGAACCATAAAGAGATTCCACTACACAGCCATCAGAATAGTTCGTATTAAAAAGACTGATACTACCAATGTCGGCAAGGATGTGGAGCAATGGAAACTCTCATACACTGCTGGTGGAAGTGTAAAACAGCACAGCCACTTTGGAAAAAAGTATGGCAGTTTTCTTTTTTTTAAACCAAACATACACCTACCATTTGAGCCAGCAAAGTGTACTCCTAAGAATTTACCCGAGAGAAATGAAAATGTATGTCCACAAAAAAAGGTTGTACAAAAAAATTCATAGTAACTTTATTAATTGAAAACTGGAAATAGCTCAGGTGTCCATCAAAAAATTGGATAAAGAAACTGTGATATATTCATATAACATAATACTACTGAGCAATAAAAGAGAAAGAACTATTGACATATGCAACAAGATGGACGAATCTCAAAAATCTTATGCTGAGTAAAAGAATTCTATCACAAAAGAGTACATATGATATGATGACATTTATATAAAGCTTGAGAATAGTTGAAACAAATCTGTGATAGAAAGAACAGTAGTAGCCCCAGAAGCTGAGAGAGGGAATTGAATGGGAAGGGGCACAAGAAAACGTTCCAGGGTAATGGTAATATTCTGTATCTTCATAGGTGTGGGTTATAAAATTGTATGCACCTATCAAAAATTATAATTTGTGTATTTTATTGTATGCAAATATTATCTCAGAAGAAAAAAAGCTACAGTGAAATACTGAACTCTAGTTACTCATATGCATGGTTGAGTATTTAGAGGGACGTATATTAATGTGTGCAACTCACTTTGAAATATATTAGTAAAAATTAAGATGGATTGACAGATAGATGGGCCAATGTGTGATAATGCAAACATAGTAAAATTGTTAATGGTAGAATCTAGGTGGTGGGAAAATGAGGGCTGACTACAAAATTATTTTGACTTTGCTATATATTTAAAGATTTTCATAATAAAATGTTAGAAAAAAAGAAGAATGATGGGAAGCCACTTGCCTACATAGCACTTAAAAACCAGATTCATAAATATTTTCCAGATTAGGGAAAATCTAAGCCTATTTTTGGCTCAGAGTTTTACAAAAGACTATGTGGAAGATTAAGATTTCCAAAGAGAAATATGGTCAGTTATATAAGGCTGCTATATGATAAATGTCTTGGTGACAGATGTCCTGATGAACTTATTTTTGCTGTTCCTACATGTACTGTTTTTCTCCATGGCTTTAAATGTTGCAGCTGTGTTACCTGTCATGACATTTCCTTTGATGGAGCTGAGATAAATTTCAGGATCAAAGAGCTCCAAGTGGTTTTATAGATATTATCTTATTTATCCTTGAAGTAGTTCTAAAGAGTTTAGTTGAACGGGTATTATTATTCCATTTTACAGAAAGAAAAAACAGGAAAACATAGAAATTAAGGAATTCATTTAAGGTCACCAACAGCACCTATAATAAGAATATATTGAGAGCATACTCTTCCAATTTTATAATCATTCTCTTTTTTAATCCTCACATAATCTTTCATTTTCTACTGAGGCTTTTGGAAAACAAATAGCTTGGCTAAAGTTACAAAGTCCATCACCCTAACTTCTGTCTAACTAGTCAACGGTTCTGAATATTTTCTGTGAAGACACATAGATGTTCACATTCCTGTGGGTATAACCAAAGTTATGGATAATTTTGCCAGGTACTTGCAATTCTACTGCTTTTCTTTTTCTCTAGAAAGCACACTGGAATGCAAGTAGAAGTGACATAAGAATAACCTTGAATCTCTTCCAATTTTTATTTTACAAAAAGCAGATCATTTGCAAATTTGGTATTTCAATTAAATTAGAAATGAACTACTTTGTAGCATTAAGACTGATAATCTGCAAAAGCCTGAATCTTCTAAGACCTTTTCCTTGTATAGTACACCATGGTCAAGTAGACTGAAGAATAAGGTGTGGTACAACTCTTGTAGCCCAAACTGCCCTCTCCAGTTGGTTCTGAAAACCTCTTTCAAACTTGACCATCCATCAAATGTCCTTAGCATATGTGCTAAAGACAATGCAACCCCAAGTTTTAATAAAGGCCAAGGTTACTGAGCTCTAAAAGATGTCTTAGTGGATAATAAACTAGCATAACTGTCAGCAATACAGCCAAGTCATATCACCTTCCTCCTTCCTTTTCTCCCCACTCCCACAACCCCAGAGTTCTACAGAATCTTTATAATACTTTGCCTTTTTCTCCAATACCCAGAATTACTAGCAGCAATACAGGTGCTAGAGACTGAATGTGTCTCATCCCGTCCCAAATTCATGTGTTAAAATCCTAACCCTCAATGTGGTAATATTAGGAGATGGAGCCTTTGAAAGGCAATTAGAGCATGAAGGCACAGCCCTCACGGATGGAATTAGTGCTCTCATAAGAGAGACCCCAGAGAGTTCTCTAGACTCTTCTGCCATGTGAGGACATAGCAAGAAAATGACCCAGAAGTGGGCCCTCGCCAGAAACTAAATCTGCCAGTGCCTTGATCCTGGACTTCCCATCATTTCCCAGAACTGTGAAAAATAAATTTCTGCTGTTTATAAGCCACCAGTCTCTGGCATTTTGTTACAGCAGCCTGAACAGACTGAGAGACAACAGGTATCGATTCTCAATCAAAGAAATGAAGTATAACGAAGAGACTTAGCCTGAATACTTTCCTCAGCCTGACAACCAGTTGACAAATTTAGTCGCTATTTGTTCTTCTTTATTACATTGCTACTCTATTCTAGTTCTTTCTCTATGGTCTCTACCATCTAATTTTTTTTTAAGTCCATGATTAATAGATCATTTGAGAAAAAAAATTTAATCTGGAGTTAAGAGGCAAGGTGATTGTTTACAAATTAGATTCTTACTACATGAAAAAAATAGAAATAGCATTTCTTTAAAGATTAAGCTGTTTTTTGTATTTATTTGATTCAATATACACACAATCTTTCACAAATAAACCTGTATATAACAAAAAGTAATTTCTATGCCTTAAACTTTTCAAAGAAAGCAAACAAAAACAATACAAATGTATCAGTATAATTTTCAAAATATGTATACAAAGTTAGGAATTAAGACTTTTTAAACTATTATTTCTTGAGAAGCTACCATGGCTCTACGCAAAGGGCTTCATGTGTGTTACCTTATTTAATCTACATGCTGAGTTAAAAAGCATTATCCTTTAAAAAAAAAACCAAGTGAGGATATGGAGGTTTATGGAGGTCAAGGGACTTGCCCAGAAGACTTCCTCCGAGCTGGTGCTCTAGCAGGGATTCAAACCAAGGTCTGTGTGGTTGCAGAGCTCAGCTCTTTCTTGCATATACACAACACACTACAGAGTACGAGCTTTCACGTCCCTGTGGCCTAAAATGCCCAAGAAGGTCATTTAGCTTCTTGCTGTCTTCTGTGAACCATCCCATCCTGATTAGGCACCCAGCTGTGCATTCAGGCCATAAAAGTAAAAGCACATTATAAAAAGTTTGTCCTTCACTGTGATGTCTTTGGACAAGCTTCTTTACCTCTTTTTTCCCCCTAATCTCTAACCTAACACTAGGTTTACCAGTACTACTTCATAGCATTAATAAAGACAAAGCCATAGAACCCACATGGTTATAGAACTAGGAAAGACATAGAAATTAACCAACCCAACTCTCTCATTTTACAAATGAGGAACTGAGGTCAAGAGAAGATAACTTGCCACATTAGTAGTTGATGCAGCATGATCTATAATGCAGATCTCTGACTCTTTATAATATCCACAGTATAAGGAGATATCTGTCTAAAATTTATCTATATATGTACACACATGTGTGAAGTAGTTTAAATATGGAAGTCCAAAAATGATTCTCTCATCTCAAATTGATGTTTTCCTCTACATAATTTTGTCAACAGTCATTATTACTGCATAAAAATATGCATAAGTAATATTGTAACAAGTTCTTAAGTTGGCAAAGCTGTAAGTATGATGTTCTCCTTAGGTACAGCTCACCTGTTTTCCAGATCCGGCATGCTTAGGTTTCTAGCAGCAAAGCACATTTTGAGAGGAATGACCTTCCTGTCCTTGGTGCTGTTTTGGTGTTTTGGAGAACCAGAGTCCTCACTGCCACTAAAGCTTGGTGACTGGGGAGCTGCACCTTCCCATGGCAGATCTGATACTAATGATGGCTTCTTGATATATGGCGTTACTTCTCGGATGAACTTTACTACGAACAGAAATCAAAGAAGAAGGTTAGTATTTTTTTGCTTCCTATGAAAAATGACAACTGAAATATACACATACATGCACTATCTAGCATGAAGTGAAAAAATACACAAAGTTAAAGAGCCAGCACCCAGAATATTAGGATTGGAGAGTGCTTTAAGGGCATGTAATCCCAATGATATACCATTTCTCTTTCTAAAAACTTAAACTTCTGAGTCTTTGCATATTGTTCCTTCTGCTTAGGACTCCTTTCTCCCTTTGTCTGGTCAACTCCATTCAAGGGCCACCTCTTCAGCAGCCTTTCCTGTCCACTCTCTCCAGGGTACTACCATTACTTCTCTGTAACAACCTCTAAGCATCCTGTGGTGAAATCCTTTCAGTTCCCTGGCTGGTTGTGAGTTCCCAGAAAGCAGGGTTTTTGATTTATTCAATCTTGGTATCCAACATCTAGACCAGTGTCTTTTCAGTAAATGCCTGAATAAATGAGTGAAGGAAAAAATGAACCATTAAACACTTGGTAGTTGGCCATCCATGAATGAATCTGGCAATAGATTCAGTACCTCCTGAGGCAGCGCCATCTAGCTTTGGACAACTCTTAACATTTAGAAACTTCTTGAAACTTCCACCCATTGGTTTGCTAACTACTGAGGCCATAAAGAACAAACTTAATCTTTTCTCTTCTACATGAAAACCCTTCAAATAGCTGCAGACTGGATTATCTCTCTCTCTCTTCTCCAATCTAGAACTATGTATGTCTAGTTCAGGTCAATTCAACTCAACCAACATTTTTAGCTGCCTTCCAAGTGTCAGTCATTAGGTTAGCCACTGAGAATTCAAGTGCAAATGAGGCATGGATCCTGCCCTTAAGGAGTGCCCAGTATAGTACGGGAGACAGCTATGTAAACAAACCATTATAGTTTTCAAAAACAAGTACAAAAATAAAGTATAGTCAAAATAAGGTATTTCCATTAATGGCAGCCCCAAATTAAAATATAGCTTTTAAGAGATGGGAAACTTTTTCCTTTTTAAGTTCAACTTTAGGACTCATATAAATACTTCTTTTACCTCAGTCATGACTGGCAACCACTGTCATTTGAGGCATAGTGTTCTTACTTCAAAAACTAGACATACTGAAGATTATTAAAATCTAAAATAGCATTAGAAATGTCAATAAATACTTGAATATAGATAAATCAGTCACCATTTCCTCTGCAAACATCAATATATTTTACATCAGTATTCTACCTCCTTTCAAATTCCATTGTGGTAGGTCATTAGAGTAGCATCATGGGAACTGAAAAACTAGAAAGGTATCAATCCTTATCAATGTCATAATAGCTAGTATTAATATTTTATAGCATTAGAAGCTTTATAAGCCTATGAAACTTTACTAAGAAAGAGATTACTAAATCTAAAAAATGATCAGATATGCTTCTCAAAACACAGCTAACAACAGTCTTTAAAATTTTGGTTTTTTTAAATAGGTAATGCATGCACATAACAAAATTCAAAAGGTATAAAAGATTTTATAATAAAAAATGTGTATTTTTAGCAGCCCAATTCCCATCCCTGGAGGCAATCATTGTATGGTCTTCCAGTGATATGGTAAGCATATATAAAAATACACACACACATATGTATATCTACATATACACACAATGGTAGTATATTATGCTTAGTGTTTCCACATCTTGCTTTTTTTTACTTAATAATAGTGATAACAGTCTTTTATAATCCTAGCATTCTACAGCTCACTCTATATGATATGGTGATAGAGAGGCCTTTGGAATCACACAGACCCGGTTCAAATACTAACTACTAACTGTGCTTGCTACTTCAGAACTGTATGCTCTCACTTGACAGCTCTGAAGCCCTCATCTATAAAATGACAGTAACACTAAGCAAGTAAAAATTCTAGGCATATACTAAACATTCAATAAATAGATGTCTTTCTTCTACTTCCCTAAATTAAAAAGTTAGAGAAGTTTAAAAAAGTTAACAGCAATCAGTAGAATAGGCAAAATTATTTTCTTATAAGTTATTAAATAAGATCTGCTGAAGTTAAGCATAATTCTAGAAAATATAATAATGCTAATGCCAGCATTTAGATAGAGTTCATATGTGTTTGTATATGTGTGTGTGCTTTCTATGTATAATTATGTGTATTTCTAGGTGGAGAGAGTAAAAGCTAGATGACTCGGGTCACCAAGGAGATTTTTTCATCCTAGAAAAATGACCAGGGGTGCAGCCAGTATATCCCTTGAGTGGCTGACTCAGGCATTTCAATACATACCTTAGCTTAGCTTTGTGCTTTCAAGAGAGAATTAGATCACAACAACTTTGGCAGAAATTCTTAAAATTTCCAGTCACTGCCAATGGCAAAGACTTGCTTTTTTGAACATTTAAGGCAATATACTAACTGCTGGATTACCAACTGGGGGAAATTAAAGAGATTCTAAATCACTACTCTTTTCACTTAATTGAAGTGTAGTCAGTTTACAATGCGTCAATGATTTCTGGTGTACAGCATAATGCTTCAGTCATACATATACATACATATATTCATTTTCATATTCTTTTTCATTATAGGTTACTACAAGATATTGAATATATTTCTCTGTGCTATACAGAAGAAACTTGTTGTTTATATATTTTATATATACTAGTTAATATTTGCAAACCTCGAACTCCCAATTCATCCCTTCCTGCCCACTTCCCCCTAGTAACCATAAGATTGTTTACTATGTCTGAGTCTATTTCTGTTTTATAGGAAGTTCATTAGTGTTTTCTTTTTCTTTTTTTAAATTCCACATATGACTGATATCATATGGTATTTTTCTTTCTTTCTGGCTTACTTCACTAAGAATGATGATCACCAGGTCCATCCATGTTACTGCAAATGACATTATTTCATTCTTTTTTATGGCACTATATAAATATATCACAGCTTCTTTATTCAGTCATCTGTTGATGGACATTTAGGTTGTTTCCATGTCTCAGCTATTGTATATAGAGCTGATATGAACATTGGGGTGCATGTGTCTTTTCAAAGTAGAGTTCTCTTTGGATATATGTCCAGGAATGGGATTGCTGTATCATATCGTAAGTCTATTTTTAGTTGTTTGAGGAATCTCCATACTGTTTCCCATAATGGCTGCACCAAACTGCAGTCCTACCAACAGTGTAGGAAGGTTCCCTTATCTCCATGCCCTCTCTGGCATTTGTCGTTTGTGGACTTTTTAATAATGGCCATTCTGACTGGTGTAAGGTGATACCTCATTGTAGTTTTGATTTCCATTTCTCTGATAACTAGCAATATTGAGCATTTTTCCACGTGCTTATTAGCCATTTGTATGTTTTCACTGGATTATTGCTTGTTTAGGTCTTCTGCCAATTTCTGGACTGGGTTGTTTGTTTTTATTTTACTAAGTTATATGAGCTGTTTATATATTCTGGAAATTAAACCTCTGTCAGTCACATCATTTGCAAACATTTTCTTCCATTCCATAGTCTGTCATCTTGTTTTGCTTCTGGTTTCCTTTGCTGTGCTAGATGACTACACTTGAATATTACAGTGGTTAGAAAAGCCCTCTTTATGATGTACTGAGAAGTTCATTTGATCACAGAGTAGCATCAATGAGCTGATTACTGCACACATACTTAAATAAAACAGTCATATACACACAGCCTATTGCATGGCCTTATTAAAAGAGCAATGAGTTTTACCTGAGTTGATGACCATGGCATTGACACCCCCATCTAACTGGTTACCCATAATGGCTGAAGAACCATAAATAGACGTCTGTTTCTAATTTACCTGAGATTTGGAAAAGGTGTAAAGTTAAGAGTGTTCTGTTTAAGCCCTATCCTTAGACCTCTCCAGTTGCCACAATGCTTTAACCTGGGTAACTGGCTGGATAAGCAAAACCTCTACACTCCCACATAGCATTCAGGTAGACTCAGAACCCATGATCTATGTCAGAATTACTTCTCCTGATAGTTAAAGATCATCCTCAAAATGTTTAATTAAACTCTGATGTTTATAATGTCTTAGGTGCTTAGATGCTGAAGTTAATCTTCTTTCTTCTATGCACTGCTCACTTTATTGAAAATGAAGGGGGCTTCCCCCTACCCTAAAAGTAACAATATAATTAATCCCTTCTCTTTAGAATGAGAAAAACACATACATGTACTGTACACATATCTAGAAAGACATCTTGAAGGATTTTAATCAAAATATCAATAGTGCTTAGATATGGGCATAGAATTGCCTTTTTTTCTTTATGTAGTCAGTATATTTGAAATTTTTGAGTCTGAAGCATTTATATTTTTAAAAACCACATCATTTAAAAAAGGAAGAAAACTTATTCTGAAACCTTGCTCAAACTAAACACAGAACCACCTTAAACTGAAATCTTGTTGAGCCTTCAAAAAGTATAATGCACTGGATAGGATCTAAGATTCAACTGATTCTTACTGAATTCCATGCTCTAATAAGTAGGGTTAAAGGGGGTCCATGTATATTAACAAGGTACACTGGTATCCTGGTTTGGGGCATTAGGCAGCACCTGATTTTAAACTGAATGCCATATATGTGGCTTTTAAAAGCTTATCCAAAAGATACTTCACGGGGAGGGTATAGCTCAGTGGTAGAGTGCATGCCTAGTATGCATGAGGTCCTGGGTTCAATCCCCAGTACCTCCATTAAAATAAATACATAAATAAACCTAATTATCTCCTCCACCCCCCTGAAAAAAAAAAAGAATGCACTATCAAAAGATACTTCATAGTGCAGACCTAACCTATAGGCTGCAAACACAAGTATTCTGGTAAATCAATCATTTCCCTTATAAGCATCAATCTCTCATAAAATCATTACTTTCCTCTTTTATCTCTAACGCTTATCGTTTTCTTCTCTCATCAAGTAACCTTTACTATGAGGTTAAGTGAAACTAAACAGGTCAGACAATATGGGGAGAATGGTGCCATTCTTTCCCCTGC